TAGGGTTTAGGGTTTAGGGGTTAGGGTTGTAGGGTTTGGGGTTTAGGGTGTAGGGTTTTCTTGGCGTCCTGTGGCTCCAAAGTCGCTTCCAGAGTTGTCCTTTAACCCCCCCCCCCCCCTCCCCCAAAAAAATTGAAGGGAAGTGGGCAGGATCATAGGGTACTTACCACGTACACCTTCTAGAGGAGATGCAGTTCTGTTGGGGGGTAGGTTTATGGAAAGCTGGGTGTAGGCGCCTGCAGGAGGGTTTAGGGACTGGTATAAGGCCTCTAGAGCTTCAAATCTTTCTAGAGTTTGTCTTCAGGTACAAATAAAGCACGTACTTACACTTATTCGCTCGTTGTATATACGTATATATATATATACCACGGTATATATCATATAGGGGGGTTGTCGGGGGTGGAATTGCTGGGAGCTCCCGTCGGTTGACCGAGTTCTACAGCATGGGCAAGACCAACACGCTGAAGGACATAGGTGCCAAGATGGCCAGGGCCTCATACTAATGTCCCTTACCAGGTTTTTCTAGGGCATATAAGGGGTATATAAGGGGTATGTAAACACGCTGAGGGACATAGGTGCCAAGATGGCCAGGGCCTCAAAGTTCTCTAAGGATAGTGTCCCTGGTCCCTTACGTATGGGTCCCTTACCGGCTTTATAGGGTTGTAGAGGGTAGAGGGTATATGATCTATAAGGGCCGTCCCAAGGGACCTTGTAACTACCCTAAGACTCAAAGTTCAGCAGACGCTGAGAAGTGCCCCGTGCATTGTGGGCATTTCCCCCCAAATAGGGGTACCCTTAATATACACCAACATAGTATACTCCTGATTATAGGAACCCCCCCCCCCCCCCCAAAAGGGCACCCCTATTTTCGGAACCCCCCTTGTGTGCTGAGCGCTTTCGCGGCAAGGACAAGCTGTCGGACTCACATCGGCGCCATCATGGAAGGCGCGTTCTAAGCTGTGGATTTGTGGAAGTCGGTCTTTTTTGAGATGCGCGGAGTTCTTCGGCCCCTTTTGGTATTGCATAAAGTGGGCCAGGCCCAGGGTCCCGGTCCAAGAGCTCTTCCAATTTAGCAGAGGTTCCGGGCTCATATGTCTAAACAGATCTATACGTCGGTCCGGTGAGAATGATAAAACGGTGACAAATCTAAAATCCGGCAGGCCAGGAAGCCGATTTTTTTTCTGGGTGTAGGGTTGGGGTTTAGGGTTTAGGGTTTAGGGCTCAATTCTAGAAAGCTTTTTCATCTGAGCTGGCCAGAAAACAGTTGTAGAAGCTTCGGCTTCGATCTTTAGAGAAGCAGGTCTCGATTGAGATTGCTGTAGCTCCAGAGGCTGAGACAAACCCCCAGGCCTCCAGACCCCAGAACACCTTAGTTGCAACCCACCCTTTCTCTCTCTCTCTCTCTCGCTCTCTCTCCCTCGCTCTCTGTCTGTCTCTCTCTCTCTCTCTCTCTCTCTCTCTCTCTCTCTCTCTCTCTCTTTGCCACCCTCAAACTCCCCGGACGCAACACGTTTTTTGTTTTTTTAGGAGGAGGGGGGGGTGGACCCTAACATTGCCCTGGTCAGCTCACACGCAGACGTCTTTCAGGTTTTACCCAGGAATGTGAGCACGGAAGAAATGGAAGTTCGAGAAGAGCCCGCAAATTTGTGTTCCCGTGAATCCCGCAGAGTCAGCCTAATGCCTCTAAACTCCAAGTCCGTATCTCGGAAACACATCAATGCCCGACGAAGACCCCTGAGTTGAACTTTAGAGGCAACCCCCATGCCCCCTGAAGGCCCTTGAGTCTAGATACACAAACTGGGGTTACACTCAGCGCCTGAACACATGAAAGCACCCTTCACAGACTCAAAGGCAGATGGCCTCAATTATGGAAACTGATGGGCGTTATCTGGTTCTTGTACTGTAGGTCGTTCATGGTGGATTCCTCCTTCCTGGTTTAGGGTGATCTTGATCTCTACATGCTGGATAATTCGTGATGCCCCTGACTTTGAACCTATATTCTAGAGAATATTCCTTACGGTTTAGGGTGCCAAGACGGGTCAATAATTTTGCTAACCCCACCTGCGGACCTCCTACACCACCCTACACCCAAAGCTCTACACCCACCCCCCCCCCCCCCCCCCCCCCTTCCTGCCGTTCAGGTGTGAGAGCTTCTGCCGGCCTGAGAGTGTATCCTGGCAATTCGGGTTTGTGGGCTGAAGCTCTTTCGGTTGCTCCTTGTGGCGGGGTCGCCTGTGGCATATCCCTATGATATAGCGCCAACAAGGGCCGACCGTTTAGATCAATCCCATGTTCGGGCGGGGTTTGAAGGTTTTGGAGCTCTGCAGGTTTTTGTTCATTTGTGCAGGGTATTCCATAAGCCCAAATCTTAACACATAGATGTGACTGTCACATACATACTATATGTATATAGGGTTTGTGTGGGCCAGCCAAACGATGCTTTCTCCTTTTGAGGCCAAACAGACATGCCCGACAGCCGACATGCCCCTTTCCTGTCGCCTGTTGGGCTTAGTAGTCGCAGTAGCTGCAGTTGTTGCATCCGTCGCAGCAGTCGCAGTATAGCCGTAGTAGTTATCGTCGGCGGAGGAGTAGTAGAGGTAGTAGAGGTAGTAGTAGTAGTAGTAGTAGTAGTAGTAGTAGTAGTAGTAGTAGTAGTAGTAGTAGTAGTAGTAGTAGTAGTAGTAGTAGTAGTAGTAGTAGTAGTAGTAGTAGTAGCGATAGTAGCGATAGTAGCGATAGTAGCGATAGTAGCAATAGTAGCAATAGTAGCAATAGTAGCAATAGTAGCAATAGTAGCAATAGTAGCAATAGTAGTAGCAATAGTAGTAGCAATAGTAGCAATAGTAGTAGGAGGAGGAATACCAGTGGTAGTGATAGTGGTAGTTGTGGTAGTCGTGGCAGCAGGAGGAGGAGTAGTAATATTACTGGTTTTTTCAGTGGTAGTAGTCGTGGCAGTAGTAGTGGAGTGGTAGTAGATGTAGTAAGTGGAGTAGTGTGGTAGTCATGGTAGTAGCGGTTGAAGTGGTTACAGTTGTTGTAGTGGTTGTTAGTAGTGGTAGTGGGTAGTGGTACAGTAGAAGGAATAGGAGTAGGAATAGGAGTAGGAATAGGAGTAGGAATAGGAGTAGGAATGGGAGTAGGAATGAGCAGGACTGAGTAGGAGGAAGAGTAGTGGCAGGAGAAGTAGACAAATCCCCGCCACATATTATAAGTAGGCCCTTACTTACTGCCGCAGGACGAAAGTTCGCCACACTTTGCCTCTAGCTCAACATATGTAGTCGTGGCACCCCGTTGCCCGCTTAGACTCCTCACACAAGATCCCGAAGGCTCCCCGCTGAGAATTATATAATAGTAAAAATTCATTCCAGGAAATTAATTACTCCGCCACGCTGGCCACGTAAAATGTGTTTCTGGCCTCTCCGCTTCTCCGCGGTACATGTGATCATGGTATTTGGAGACAATCCGCCGTATGTCGAAACTTTTGTCCCGCTGATGGGCCAGTGGGGGCGAATTAGGGGAGGTTTTGAGAGGCATCTATGCTTTTTATCTGTATGTATATATATGTATATATATATATATATACAGGTGGTGGTAATTCCTCAACCCTGAAATTAGAGCCCTTATCCCTAGACCCCCTTATTTTCGAACCTTTATATCTGAGCCCTAATCCCTAAGCCTAGGTCATGGTTAGGTGCTGGTTACGGTTAGGTGGTGTTTAGGTGGTGGTTCGGTGGTGATTAGGTGGTGATTAGGTTAGGTGGCGGTTAGGGTTAGGTGGTGTTTAGGTGGTGGTTCGGTGGTGTTTAGGTGGTGATTAGGTGGTGTTCAGGTGGTGGTTAGGTCATGGTTAGGTGGTGGGTAGGGTTAGATGGTGATTATGCCGGTGGTGACTAGGTGCTGATTAGGTGGTGGTTAAGTCATGGTAAGGTGGTGGTTGGGTGGTGGTTCGGGTTAGGTTGGCAGTTAGTTGGTGGTTAGGTGGTGTTTTGGTGGTGGTTAGAACCTGGTTACGTGGTGGTTAGGTGGTGGTTAGGGTTAGGTAGCGTTTACGGGTTAGGTGGTGCTTTCGTGGCAATTAGGTGGTGGTTTGGGGTGTTTAGATGGTGGTTAAGTGGTGGTACCCTAATTTTGGCCGGGTGAGATAAACACCACCGTCTAATATAGAACGCCACTTGGCCCAGAATTCGGCGTTTAGTATTAGGGGGAGGGGGGGCCGTTTAGTATTTAGGGGGAAGCGATTATTACTAATGACATCAGCACAGTGACGATAGTGCCGAAACCATGGCCTAGAACAGTCAAGATGACGTTGGTGATAGCAATACTAGTAGTCATGTTAAGACTTTTCATGGTAACAGTTGCAGCCGCTACAGTTGTTAAGATGCTAGTTGATTGAGCTGTCCCTTCTAGGTGGTTCCATGACAAACAAAATATGATAACAGCAGCAACAAACAGTACGTTTGGTGGGAACAATAAGAAGATAAGAGTAATGGCAACCATACTGGAAACAATAGGCAGGTGAATTTGGGTGACTTGTTTTCACATACTGAGTGGTAAGATTAGGGGTTTGCTTGGATTCTCACGACAAGTCTGCCAGTAAGAGCTTGCGTGGAGTATGGTCATCCGGCTGTTTTTGTAAGATCTAGGAGGTTCCAGGAGACAACCCCCAGAACTTTCATGATCCAACTGAGACAAAGTATGACTTATGAGTCATGAGTCCTGTGTAGCATGAGCTCCCTCTCAAAGTATATATCTCTCCGGGCAGCCATTTGCACCCAGTTGGTTTTGCAGCAGGAAACTTAGGTTTAGGACTCAGGCTTTAGGAGTCAGCTCAGCCAGTGTGCAGTCTGAGTTGGGCTTCTCAGGTCTTCCTGGATGTCGGTTGATGCAAAATAGACTTGGAAAGTTCACGTCTAGATTATTGAAAAGAGGCCACATCTTTTGCAGCTTTGCTTTTGATAGTCGTACTTGCAGTAAGACTTGTGGTGACCTTGCCCGTCCGCATGCTGCGCGTGAACTCCGCCGTATCAGGTGAAGAGCTGGCCGCTCTTTCCACAGAGGAAGCTTCTGGCAAGTGCGTGAAATTCCTCAAAGCACTCCTGGCCAAGCAGGTTGGGGTGCCGAGATTTCGACAAAGATGGTTCAGCGAAGATGGCAGTGAGTTGCGGGATGATGCCATCATGACTCCATGTACCTGCTGTGCACAAATCGTAAACTTAGAGTGCTGGCCACCAGCAGACGGACAAATTCAGGTCTTGAGTGCAGCATGTGAGGAGAATCGTCCGGAGGAAGTTGAAGTGCTGCTGCAGCAGCCTCTGCATCCAGATGTGTTGAATGAGGCGGAAGTATTACAGGATGCAGCAATGGCTGGAAACTGGGAATGCGTGAGCCTGTTGTTGGAAGCCAATGCTGCCCCTGATGGGAGGCACCCCCCTTTCTACACTCCATTGCACTTAGGAGCTCGAAGCGGGCACATTGAGATCGTGCGACTCTTGCTGGACTCTCGGGCGGCCGTTGGCAAGCTCAAT